TGAGCCCAGGAGTTTGAGGTTGCTGTGAGCTAGGCTGACGCCACGGCACTCACTCTAGCCCTGGCAAAAGAGTGAGACTCTGTCTCAAAAATAAATAAATAAATAAATGAAAGGAGCCAGTCACAGAAGGGCAAATACTGCATGATTCCATTTATATGAGTTATCTAAAATAGTCAAACTCATAAAAGCTAAGAATATAATGGTGGTTGCCAGGGGCTGGGGTGTGGGAGAGAATATGACAGGTGAGCCGAAACCAGACTATGAGGGGGTCCCTCCAGACTGCAGACTCCATCTTGCAGGAAACAAGGAGGCATCTTAGAGCGGAAACCAGGTGTAGGGGCCAGAATTTAGGGTGCTCAGTCATCAGGATGGGCTACATAATTTGCAAGACCCAATGCAAAAGAAACACGTGGGACCTCTTGTTCAAAAATTATTAAGAAAATATTTAAGATAGCAATAGCAGAGCATTAAACCAAGTACAGGGCCCTTTTGAGAGAATGGCCCTGTGTGACTGCACAAGTCACACACCCATAAAACATGCAGCCCCACAACGTGACCAACCATATCAGTTTCCCGGGATGTGGAGCTCTCCTAAAACCAGGACAGATCTGGGCAAAACAGGACTCTTGGTCACCCTGGCAGGACTGAGATTCAGAAGAAAGGAATGCCTTCATCCTCCAGCTTGCCATTTACTGTCTCTGGGCCTTGCTACTCACTTGTAACATTGGAATAATGATGCCCCCATGCATCTTCTATCATGGCAGAAAGGATTTATCTAGAATTAAGATTCTTTGACATTTCTGTGAAGCGTGTGTTATTATTTTTGAAGGTTCTGAAGGGAGGACTGGGAGAACTGATCTGGCAGCTATGGGAACATTGAATTAGAAGGGGACAGATCAGCAAAGAGGCTACTGTGGTGACAAGGAGAGTAACCTGGCCTCACCTGACTGTGGGAGGAGCTGATGCCAAATCCTGAGGTTCCATGAAAAATGTAGACTGCACCCCGGTTCTCCTCCTCTCCTGGGGCTCCAATGGCCACATCCGTCAGCATGTCCCCATTCACATCCCCCAGCGCTGTGAGGGCTGCCCCAAAGCGGCCCCAGGGGTGGCCCTGCTCACCACGGAGAACAGCATCACACTGCCACCGAGCCCTCTGCTGAACACAAACAGTGTCAGGCACAAACCCAGGCAACCCCTTCACCCCGCATCCAGTTCCCACCCAGCCCAGGTCTCATCAGCCACTCACCCCCCGGGGCAAGGGGCACACAGACACTTGGCCCCCCTGGGTCTGCTCGTAGTAATGGGGGGCCCCGATGAGGACCAGGTTGGTGCTGCCACGGCTGTCCATGTCCACAGAGCAGAGGGAGGCCCCGAAGTAGGAGCCAATCTGAAAGAGATGGGGTCGTGATCATATACCTCTTCACACCTAAAGCAGAGTGTGGGGGTTTTCTCTCTGTGAAGGAAAACTATACCAGGTGGGGAAAGCCCTTTGGAGTAGATGTGATCTGCTATATGATTCATGACAGATTTTCGTTTCAATGCGCTGTCAGCTAGAGGAGCCTGTTATAGAGTCAGTGGACAGTGCGTGAGGATTTACCCCAAATGGTATTCCACAGGGAGATTATTAAGTAAGCAAAGAAGAAATTGGATTGGAAAATACACACAGAAAAGCCTAGAAGAGCAGACAAGATACCCTTTCAATATAATGGAAATCTTTAGGGAGGTGAAACATCAAAGTTAGCAGTCTAACTAATAAGGAATCACTACTGCTACCCAGGAATATTTTTGGTGATATGAAGAAATAATGTCTATTTACCAGCGAAAGGATTTTTAAAATATGTTCGATGTTAATATATACAACTCATCCATAGAATCTCATCCATTTAATAATCCATAGAATTCATCCATTTAATCATCCATTCATTCATTTATTCATTCATTCAACAAACAAGGGTTTGCTACTTGCTGAACACAGGGCTGAGCAGGAGAGACACAGTACCCTCCAGGGCCCTCCATGCAGCAGGAGGGGGCAGTAAACAGATAAACAGGGACAAGTCCTAGGAAGAACAAGTGCAGGGAACATGATGCCAGGACTCACTAAGTATGATCTTACCCCACACACCCCTGAGGGGAGACTCACTGATAACCTAATAAAGGCATTTAAGCTTCATCCTAAAGTCAGTGGGATTTTGGTTATTTTTAGGTCAGGTTTATTAGGGTATAACATACATACAATAAAATTCAGCTTTTTTAGTATACAGTTTTATGAATTTTAACAAACATATAAAATCATAACCACCACCACAGTAAGATATAGAATAGTGTCATCATCCCCATAGTATTTCCTCATGCCCCATTGTAGTCAACATTTCCTCATCTACTGCCAACACCCGGCAACCACTGATCTGCTTTCTGTCCATATGGATTTGCCTTTTCCAGGATGTTATATAAATGGAAATATATAGCATGTAGCCTTTTTGGTCTGGCTTCTTTCACATACAATAATACACTTAAGATTCGTCTATGTCGTCACATGTATTAGTGTTAATAATTCACTCCTTATTGCTGATTTGTATACCACTGTGTGAATATACCACAGTTGGTTTATCCATTCCCTAGTTGAAGGACATTTGTGTTTTTTTCTAATTTTTAGTGATTATTAATAGAGCTACTAGAAATATTTGCATACAGGTTTTCATGTGAACATCTGTCTTCATTTATCTTAGGTAAATATTTAGGAATGGGATTGCTGGTATGGTAACTGTATGTTAAACTTTATAAGAAACGTAAAGGATTAATTTTTATGATGTGAGATATGGGTAGAGGTTTTTTTATTTCAAGGCCAAAGCTAAGAAGATAAGAGGTTTATTTTTTTGACTATGGATGTCCAATTGTTCCAGTATCATTTGTTGAATAGACTCTTCATTAAACTGTGTTTGCTCCTTTACTGAAAATCAATTTGGGGCTGAGTGCAGTGGCTCACACCTGTAATCCCAGTGCTTTGGTAGGCCAGGGTGGGAGGATCACTTAAGGTC